TACAAATAATAATAGAGTATAGCAATAACAACTATAGTTAGATATGCATAGCAATATAAACTAACTAACTACAGTATAACTGCTAATATATAACTATAGTATAGTATAACTAATAATAACAAAAATGATAGTATAACTAATATATAATATTAAAAGAATTGTATAATTAATAACTATCTATAGTATAGCAATGACAAAAACATGTGCAAAAACAACAATAGGAATACTAATAAGTTTTACAAGTACGAAAGATAAGATAAAGATGATATAAAATCATTTGAATAAGTTTTTCAAGAAATTCAAATTTTGATTCATATTTAGAGGAAGAACAACATCGATCTTCTAGATCAAGATCATCCAGGAGATCAAGTATATTTAAAAAAAAAACATGTATATGTAAAGAGAGAGATAAATTATTTTTTCTAATCAAAGTATATATTACGTTATATTATTATACTATTTGTTTTTAGAAGAATAACCCAGACGTTCTAAGAATAAAAACTCAAAAAAAAGTATAACACTTTAAGTTTGTATATTCAAAAGGGATATATTAGTTAATAATAATTGATATTGTTGACAATACTTTATAATTTAGAAGTGTGTTTATGTATCATTAATTTTCAGTAGGAGGAAGGATGGACTGACTAAAAGTTTTACTCTTGCCTAATATATTATATATATTTTAGAGGGCCTAAGGGCCTAATATATTTTAGAGGGCCTAATATATTATATATATTTTAGAGGATATTATTGAGAGGGCTTAGCATTTCTGTTTAATGTAGTTATTTTAAACGGACGCAGTATGCTTCCCACCGTAGGTAAGATGATAGTGCTCGAACCCTCCTTCAAGTTTAGATTTAAATGTAAGCAATCCAAAAAAGATTAATAATCTGATATTTAGTTATAAATATTAATATAAACCGTCATGAAATATCAAACTTACCAATTATACAATTCTAGTTTTGAGCATCGATTAGTTATAGTAATGTTGTCGCAACATGCTTTTGTTGTTTTTTCCTCGTTATCATCGAATTCTTCATACGAGGAATTTATTAATATTTTATTTTAAATAATAATTCAAATAAAAGATATAATTTTATTGTATTTCTATTACCTTTGTGATTTTTTCCTTGTTCAATTGACATACTATCTTCCTCGCACAAGGCAATTTGGTTGTTTAGTTGTTTCTGTAAGTCCTCCAGAGCAATAGATCTCGGGTCGACGTTACCCCGACACGTCTTACCTAACTTACTCAATTTGTTTTTCTTTCTTTTTTCAGTATTTTTTATTACTAGAAGGCCTACTTTTTTACGCTAAGTTTTATTACATGATCAGCATTACATAACCTTACCTACTTAAACCTGTTTAATTTATGCCTTTATGCCTACCTATTTATTGCCCTATTATGCACTTATGCTTGCTTAATCCTGCCTAATTCTTCGTTGCCTTTCTAGACAAGTACCGTGTCAAACCCGTACGCCAGACCCGATTCATAACGTATAAGATTTAAAGACATGAACGACAGACAAAATTAGATTCGTACTCGGAGGTTCTCAACAACTTTTTAAAGTGCGGATTGATTATGTACTCAGCTACGTTAACGTGTTGTGTAAGCGAGTTTTGAAATTATTTCAATAATCATTTCTCTCTACGTTAAAACATTTTTTGATCTTCTTTGAAGCGCTTTTCTTCTATAAGGAATTTCCCTCGCTAATAAATAACTAGTCTTAAATTTTTTAATGTTTTCTTGCGCATATAAATATAACGCGCTTTTGCTTAGTCAGAACATGAAAAAAATAGCAATTGGATGCCATATAAAAAAAGGTAATTTTATTTGAAACCATCGCTATCAAATCGGATTCAGAACAAGAATTATTTGAGCATGATTTATATAAAGAAGTTGATTCAGAAAGAGAATACATTATACTAATAGACCCGTATGAAATATATAGAATATATGATAATATATTCTATATATTTCATACGGGTATGAAATATATATGAATATATTATCATATATTCTATATATTTCATAGAATATGAAAGAACTATTATCAGAAAATAATATTTTATTTTTTCTTTATAATAAATATTTATTTAATATTCTCTGTTTAATTTTATTTAAGCATAAGTATCATCGGAAATACGCCAACGCTATATTTTTTTACCTATTCCTAATCTGCAATCATTGTTTGCATATCTTCTATTCATAGCTGTTTCACAATATAATACTTTTTACAATTAATAGGTATTTCATCTTTTGTTTGAGTGTCAACAGATTTTTTGTAGAAAGATTAAATATTAGGCTTGACGAAGTAATTCTAAAGTCAACTGGAGAAGAAATTCTAATAGCTCGCTTTGTCTTCCCAAATAACTCAAAAAATTATTAGCTTCATTGCTACTACGATTACTTTGAGATCATCTTTCAGGAATAAGTAAAGGATATGTAGTTCAAGGAGCCGTAGCTTTTGTACGCACTTTTTTTAAAATAACTTAAACTGCTACTACTTGAATCGCCTGTATAATTGCTCGGAATAAGTAAAGGATAATAAATGTTTATATAAAAAACATATAATAAACAAAATTACCTCTTATTAAATAACTAGTATTTCTCCAACGCATTATTTTTTGACCAGCGAGTCCTAATCATCTATTTAAAGCATTATTAATTATTTTATTAATTTCTCTTTAGCAATACAACACTTCTTTACAATTATCAGATATATGTTTTGTATTTGTTTGAAAAGCCAATGTTTTTTTCTTCATCAATGCATTATAAGCTCTATATTTATATTCAAAAGGTGTTTTTCTTGTTCTAGCCATTTTTTTAAGATAAATTTTTTTTCTGTTAATTCCTTTATATAGTTTTTACTTAACTTGTAAAACGAATATATCTTTTTCTAGACAAATAACATATTTAAACATTTACTCTAATTAAAAAAAAGTTAGCAAGTTATTAAGAGATTCTCCTCCATCTTGTGAAGAAAAAGAAAAGCAAGCTCAAAGCCAAAGAATTATTCGGCTAAACAAGAAAAATTAGAGAGAATTAACAAGAATTAACATTAATTTCTCTTAACAAGAGAAATTAAAAAATTTCTTGTGAATCGCTTGAGTATGTTTTGGAGAAGTATAGTTTGTTGCTTAGATTTTGATAATTATAAAATTGATTCTTTTAATTTATCTATTGCTTTTAAAATATTTACTCTTAGTCTAAAGTCATCTTTGCACACTTCGCCTACCATTGATTTTATATATCTTTCTAGGGTTTCTCCGTCAAATAATAGCTATTAAAATCAAGTTAACTAGAAAATTAAACTGTTTATTAAAAAATCAAACTGAATTTTCTAATCCTATTTGTTAATAATTAAACAAATAATTTAAGTTAAGTAAAGAATAAATGATAATTAAAAACATGAAAATCATTTCAAAAAACAAAAATTTTTCTAAAATTGTTGCATGGTTGAGAAACAGTTCTATATCTTATTTAACGGAATATGTATGCAAATGCTTTGAACTGTTCACAAATAAGTACTTTCTCAATAAAAAAAAACAATTTTTTAAATTTATAAATGTTATATAAAATTTATAAATTTTAAATTTATAAATCTTATAAAAGAAGCAGTGTTCCAACACCACAACATCATAAATCTTACACTTAACAATGTTCCAAGTAACACAACATAATAAATCTTATACTTAACAGAGTCAATGGTAAGTTTATTGCACTTTCTCAAAACCTCTGAGTAACTGAAATTAGAGACATCAAGAAAACAAATATTTTTGGAACGATGACATTCTGGGAGATTATTAAAATAAATTAAACATTCTCCTGAACTCTTTGTGATTTCCTTCAAGAATCTGAAAGCTTCGAATTTCCAGCATTAATGAAGTTGGTGACGCTTTGCTAAGATATATTTTTAAAATTTCTTTCTGCACCTGCTAGTTTTTTAAAATATTAATGCCTTGCTTCGAACTGCATGCGCCATAAGTAACGAAGGGGACCATAATGTGCAATTAACCGAGGATTATGTACAGAAAGTTATAATTTTTGCTTCAGAACTAACAACTGAGAAGGCTTTGACTAACAAAGCCTCATTTTTGAATAATTCTACAAGATCCTACAAGATTCTACAAAAATCCCCATGATTAGAAGAGAAGTTCATGCATTACATAAATTAATGCATTAACTTCATTACCAATATCAAGCTGAACAATTGTTGAAATAGAATGTCTTTGTCCTAAACCAATCACAAGCATTGCTAAATGCTTTTGCAGTTTAAGAACAAAAGCATTAATATCTCTGTCTAATCGTTGTTTGAGATTGAGTCAAAATCACAATTAAATAACTCGAAGCCTTTATTAACAGATGAATGCAAACTTTCATAATATTTGTCTTGTTTCTGTCAGCGCAATATATTTGATTGTGTTTTATTCACATGTGTTGTCTTAAACTTTTTATTGTGTTGTATGTACTGGGCAACCATTAAGTCCGCAAGCCACAGTAAAACTAGCTTCAGTTTTGTGACATATCTGAAAATGAGTCAAATATTTACTTTATATAAACTCTTTAACTTGACAAAAAGAGCAACTAAAACTTGAAATACACGACATTCAACTAAACCTGAAAAATAAATTAGAACAATAAATAATCACTAACCATTAAACTTTGGTTTCAAAAAACTTAGGTCTACTGTATCCGAAAAGTTACAAGTTTCATCAACAGTCCAATTAAAGAATGGTATTGGAACATCAATAGTAGCCATAAAAATCACTTCTAATGCAAAAAAACAAATTTTTTTTGCATTAGAAGTGATTTTTATGTTAAAAATTTGTTTCTAAAACTCAACAAAATTGTAGTTTTTTTTTCTTTCTATAGGAACCGTTAAAATAGTAAGCCTTCAAGATTTTAAGGTGGGAGAGGAAAAACCCAAAAAACTTAAAACTAGTAATAAGTGTCTATGAAAGCCTTCACAAATAAGGATTTTCAGCAAGTCATCGAATTTTTGATTCCAAATCCGTAATATTAAATATTTTTTTGTATTTCAACGATAGGTGGAGGAATATTATCAAACATTACAGGGCGCAGCTGCAATGCGTTATGTTGCGAAAATACAGCTTGTTAGTGGGGTAGACCCGTATAAGTTAAAACTTAACGATATGGACACAAATCCTAAATCACTTCCTTCCGTGGATTATCCAGACATAGTAAATTATTGCGTCTACACAAAAAGTGCCTATACAATGGATGAATTGAAATCTTACAAATCTCTGGATGCATACCACCAGTTCGTCAGCGGTTGGGTTTCTGATTTGGGAAGCTATGTTGTGAATAACCGCGTCATTGTTAAAAGCAAGGTATGAATTAGCAATAACAACAATTTAAGTCTGCACATATGTTTAACAGATATTGTATGCCTTAAATTAATTTATTTATGGAAGAGCCTAAATATTTGTATTATTGATGTAATATCTAAATAAATGTATTATTGAAGGAATATCAATATCACTGAGATATTTATTTTGTTCCTTATTATGTTTTTTATAAATAGAACTAAAAAAAAAAGAGTCTAAAAAGATTACTTCCTGCTATATATTACATTTAAATTACATATATGTATATATATATATATATATATATATATATATATATATATATATATATATATATATATATATATATATATATGTATATATATATATATATATATATGTATATATATATATATATATATATATATATATATATATATACATATCTTTGTTCAGGTGAGACACTCTCAGAGTATCAGCAAGGCACCACTACAACCTTGGATTATTGCAGAAAAGAGTAAAAATATTTTAGCTGCACACTGCAACTGTATGGCAGGCTTGGCTGAAACATTTACTCATGTCAGTGCCACGCTCTTTGCAATTGATGCTTCTGTGCGCTTAGAAAAGAGCCGAACTGTTACTGAAGAAGCGGCATATTGGATGTTACCATCAAATGTAAAGGAAGTAAAATATTCTAAGCTAAAAGACATTAATTTTACATCGGCAACAAACATGAAAAGAATTCTTGATAGTAAATTATCTCAGACACCTGTTAGACAATATCAATTGCTGCCTCTTCCGTTTGTAGAACCACCCAACGCTACGGAAATGATCAATTTTTTTCGAATTCTGCATGACACTGGTGTTAAACCAAGTATTCTGTCAATAGTACCTGTCTTTGTTGAATCTTACGTTCCTAGGTTTTCATCTTCCTTGTACCCCTGGGTTTGTGTAGACCTAGAAAAGAACGGTTCGAGAGCACAACGTTCCATACTTGAAAAAGTTAGTACTACTACATCAGTTGGTGAAGCCGCTATTTCCACTGCAATGGTTACTGAAGACATTGATTTCAACATTGGATAATTCTGTTTTTGTCAAACACCCTCAACAAAGAAAAGAAGAAATTTAAGAAAAGAAGTTAAAAGTAATTTAAAAGAAAAAAACTAAAACTAAGAAAAAAAACAATTTTTCACATTAATATAAGATAATTATAAGCAGTGATAATTATAAGTGAGCAGAGCATATTTTTGAGAACTTGGTTGGTTTTTTTTGTCTATTAACTGCTGCAATCCACTCGCAGCGCCTCTTAGCTGACAACTCTAGCGTTTTATTATCTTGATGTTTTATAATAGCGGGGAAGCTATGGAAAGACATCTTGTCACGGTCAGCTCTACTTTAGCAACCGTTAACAAAACAAGTACTTGGCATAGTTTTGCTGTTGAAGATGAAATAATTTATTTAAGGTAGTTTCTATGGCAAAAAAAAAAAACAATATTTTCACACACGTTTGAAAACTATCTTTTTTACAATGTGTAATGAAAATAAATTAACTTTCTATAATTAAAAAATCTCTTTAATTTAAACTTATTTTTACATAAAAAATTCGAATTAGAGAGATTGTACTGTGTAAAAAGTTGTAATGTATATTCTTTTAAATGTGCTGATACACCATTTTTGTGTCAATTCGAGCATATTTTCAAGGTGTATTTAAAAAGTGATTTCTAAAAAATTCAGATAACTTAAAACGTTCAGAATCATGTTTGTTTGTAGTATCAACACAAGGTTGTGTTTTTAAGTCTTTATCGAGACACATTATTAAGTTCCAGTTGTTTACAGTAATCAATAAAATTTTTAAGCCCATCGTCAAATTTAACAAAATCAGAAAAAAACTGCACATGTCCAACACACTTTACTTTCAGTGGTAATATATTTAATTGTACATAAAGTACACAACTTACAACATCTTTAAATGACAAAGTCATTTTTTCTGAGAAACTCATTGTTCTCTAATCAATGAATTGAAATGGATCTTCTAAATACGATAACAGCTTGGTTGAATGGATACATGTATTCTTTGTAAATGTTTTATTATTTACAAATCAATTAGGTATTTACTTGCACTACTTATAGAAGTCCTTGAAATGTTATAAATTATTTCAGAAAACTTTAGAATTTGATTCCTGTCCACTACTTCCTACTTCTCTTAGAGCTAATGCAGATCTTTCAATCAATTTTGTTTACAACATATACTTTTATTTGCAGCAGAATTAAATGTAAAAAACGATTCATTTTAAAAATACTACTTCTGATCAAACTTTTAAATTTAAACTTCAACTTATGAGCAGCACCCATGTGATATGTTAATTTGTCAATAAAAAGTCTATGCTTTATGGAAAATATTCTTGACATGACAGCAAAAAGGTAGACATATAATCTCAACAATTTTAATAAAATTATAATCGTTTGGGTCCTCTCGACTTGTTTACGTTTTTTGCACGAGTGTTGATTGCCTCTAAAATGAAAAATTCTGCTAAGTTGGTGGTTTCACTTGTTGCCAATTATTATTGTTATTATTAAATACTTTGAAGATACTAAATCAATTTAATAAGTAATTCAGCATTTTATTTATATACATAGAATTTTTATATATTAAAATAATTTAATAATTTATTTAGCATGCTAAAAATAATTTATTTAGCATGCTTTATCAACTAAAATGTGTTCACTGTGTCTGAGTTATATAAGTTAGCAAATTGACAAAATAATGCGTTATAAAACGTTATAATATTGCGTTATAATACTTATATGCGTTATAATGCGTTATAATACTTAGTAGAAGATATTAAAACAAATGTAAAACACAAATAATCAAGTTTATTTTTGAATGCTTTAGAGTGCATTATGTACAGTTTACTAATAACACACTTTTGAAATCAAGTTACTTTATTTAGTGTTTTATTTAAAGAAAAAATAAGTTAATTATATCGTGAGATAGAGAATTAAATTCTCCATAAATTTACCCACAAAAAATTTTAAAAAATCTATCTACAATAAGGTATGCTATCTAAATAATTGCAATTAAATACATTATGCTAATAAACACTCGCATTGTTTATTTTATTTGCCATACAATATGGCGTCCGCGAATTTTAACGTCACGTGATAGAACACTATCCATAATCTCCTTAATTTTTTCCCTACACTCTTTTTCATCTTTTGTTATATAAAGATTATTATTTTTAAAAGTGATATATTCTATATTCATCAATTTAATACCCTTTAATTTTAACTTTAATTTAAACTTTTAACTTTAATTTTAATACTTAGTTTAATTTTAATACTTAGTTAAGTTAACAATTTTTTTTTTGATCTATAAATTCTACGCGTGTAAAATAAAAATATTTTATCTGTAAAGCTCTTTGTGCTCTATAAATTACAGCATCTGCAATTCAGCACTCGTCAGGATGTTTAATGATTATTTATATATATTTTTTTTTTCCCAAAATATTGTACAATTCTTTTAAAATATTTTATAAATTTCAATGTTTATTTTTTCTTCTTCCGCATTATACATATAATAATCTTTTAACCTTGCTTCACTTTTATATTTATATTTTATATTGCTTCACGTCATATATTGACGTTAGAAATTTTCTTCGCTAATGAGGCAATTAGCGAAATTTGTATTTCGACCTTTTATAAAGTTAGAAAACACCTATAATATCTAACATAGGGTATATATGGTAAAATATATATACAGTCGTGTATAAATTTATAAGAGGAGGCGTTTTTAAGATGGCTATTAACGTTCTAATCGAAATATACAGTGCTGAAATAAGTCACGTATTAATAATGAGTTTAACACGCCCTCCGCGCTTTCACACGAACGTTTTGATAGCAGAGGATTGTTTTCTAGCAATTGAACACAAAAATGAGCGATGTTAAAAGTGATAGTGAGTTGAAAGGAGTTCATCATATTTGGATGGATCAGCTGAAACTAGCTAAAGCGAATACAAAAGCGACGTTTACGAGAACGAGAAGAACGCTAATGGAATTACTTTATTTCCACCTTCCGATTAGAAACAATGTTTGCAAATGGCTATTGATTGTAGTTGCAAAACAATGTTTTGCAACTACAATCGGCTGCAACTTTGTTGCAGCCGATTGTAGTTGCAACAAAGTTGCAGCCGTTGAGTATCGGAAAAATAACGAATTCGAAATGGCGACCAAGGTCACTAAAGAAATTGAAGTAATAGAGTCTGCCTACATGGATGCAGACAAAATGATGCACGAATATCTTTACTCTTAAATATCTTTACTCTCGAAAAAATGACGCTTCAAGCATTAGCACTAATGGGGATGGTGACAAACGTAAACGTCACCTTGAAAGGATTAGTCAAAAAATGAAAAATAAAAATAGCATCGACAAAATTGGTTATGAACGACATGGTATGGGTAAAATGGAAATAGGATTAATACGTTGTGGAATAATGGATTATGGATATGTAAAACGTGGATATGTAAAAAGTGGATTATGGATATGTAAAACATTTGAAGCAAAATAGGCTAATGGAAAGGGATGAGTTAAAATGACCAACTGGATGCAAAAGTTAAACGGCATGCTGAAATTGTTGATGAAAAAAGGACTATCAAATCGCCCAGTTGTAACTGGTTAGCGAGGTGAGCCATTTAATATAACGGAATACTGTGATAAAGGTATTGACCGACAAATAACGACAAATAACGACTTTAGTATGAAAAGAGAAAACGGACAAGACTTATGGAGGCACTTATCTAGAGTGTCGATTCCTGTCTTCTTTGGAGGGAAAACGCAATACGAAAATTGCAATGATGCATTCTAATCATGTACTGATAGGGCTCCAGCTACACCGAAATATAAACTCTTGCAACTACGCCAGTCCTTATCAGGAGAAGCTTCCAAAGTCGTTAAAAGTTTGATATATTTAAAAGCTGCGTACGAAGCTACAAAAGGTCGTCTTGAAAGGAAGTACGAAGTTTTATTTGGAGTGAGTGGAAAACTTCAGTCCAGTAAAATAAAACAACCCAAATAATCTTGAAAACTTTGCTGATATGTTGGACATTGCAGTCATAAATTCAAAAGAGTTTTGAAAATTCAAAGAATCAGCAGATGGCTCACTCTACATTAAATTTATGAAGAAGTTACCAAAAACAATGCAAAGTGTATTTTTACGATAGTTATTTGAAAAGCAAAAACTGGGATGGAATCGTTGTACTGTAATCGTCGTACTGGGGTGGAATCGTTGCGAGAATGGGTTATTCAAGAAGCGGAGTTTTTATACAGTTGCCCAGGAAATTATATGTGGTCTGGAAGATACAAAGTATAAACAAGAAGAACTACTAAACAAAAGATTAAAAAAGTAAGCAAAAATGATTACAAAAATCTATGTATACTCCGACACTTCAGCGTTGTAAAGTTGGAAAAGTAGACCACGAATGTCAGAATAGTTTTCGACGCTGCTGCAAAATGCCAAAGTGTTTTGCTTAATGACGTCATCCATCAAGGACCAAAACCGCAACGAGATCTCTGTGTCGTTCTGTTGTGCTTCCGAAGAAACTCAGTCGTTTTGCTGGGAGTACTTGCAAATTCAGAGATGTACTTGCAAATTCAGCTGAATCTGAAAGATCGAAGATACTACAGATTTTTTTGGCGGGATCTTGAAGAAAATAAAAACTATTTGTTTGAGTGAGTTATTTGAATGTAAAGTGTTTGTTTGAGTTATTTGAATTTACTAGAGTTGTATTTGGTGTCAATTCCGGCCCTTTTCAAGCACAGTTTGTTTACAAAAACATGCTGAAAAATATAAAAAGTAGTTTCCACTGGCTGCAGAGACTGTTGATAAGTCTACATATATGGATAACAATATAGATTCAGTTTAAACAAAAAAAAAACAGTTAAACGTCTGCTAACCATACCTGTTTTAAATCAGGCTCTACTAGTTTCAATGCGTTTATGATTATTACAGTGCTAAGAGAGTATTATGGCATAGCGAGGAGGTCGTCTTGTGTGGTCCCTTCTCTCTAAAAAACAGTTTCTCTGCCGCAGATGAATAGTTTGCGGGTGTACGGTAAGTATTGACTTAATACATAGCTAAAATTGGAAAAATTATTTGTATATTATGTAGTGCAACAGAGCAGTTTAGGCAATTGAACGCATTCTTAAAATCAATTAGTAAAGCCCCATCTCGATCTCCTAGATAAAATTCTCTTGCATGGCGTGTATTGCAGCTTCTGCTCCTGCCCCGTGTCCTGCGCAGGTTTGTAGTGGTCCATCTGCTTCTTTTCAACAGTGTTGGCTTACAGTTTTACCTACAATCTTTTGTAACACTTCTCCCATTCCTATGGGACGATCCTGGGATTTTTGTCCAAGGGAACCAATCTACAGGCAATATAGGGTTGAGCTATGTTAGAATGGTACGATTTTGTTGCAATATTTTTTGTAAATACTGCTACTTCTTCT